GGGGGGTTGTCTCGAACGCTGATCGGACACACTCTCCCTGCCTCTGCCCTTCAAGGCCCTTCAAGGCCTCTTCTCGGCCCAGCCTCCCTCCACAGCTGCCCCCACTGCCCCCCCGCCCCGCCACAGGCCCTCGGCAGAGGGAACGGTGCTCCCGCAGCAGACCCCGCGAGCCCAGGGTCGGGGCCAACTGCCCCCAGGGAGAACAGCGCCCCATGCCCAGCATCCCTGCTGCCTGGCTGCCTCCCAGCAGTCAATCCCTGGCACTGGCCGAGCTGCCTAATTAACGGCTCGACTGTGTTATCCGCCAGGCATTGATTACTCTTTTTAATCAGACCTGCCAGTGCGGGGGGCCACTGGAGGCCCAGCCAGGGCTGGCGGGAGAGTGGGGAGCCGTGCCCTTGCCCCTCCTCTTGCAGGCCCGCCAACTCCGCACTCTCACCATAGCCCTCACTCCTGCTGTCCCCTCTGCCGAAGCATCCCCCCCACCCACCGCCCCAAACTCCTACTCTCTCTTCAAGATCTTGCCCAGGTAGCCCCTTAGTTGAGAGGCTTCCTCACCCTAGTCATGGCCACGGGGGACAGACGTGGCTGAACTTGGAGCTGGGAGGCCATGGCCAGGACTGGCCTTAGCCCCCTCAAAGGAAACCTGGAAATTCTGTGCCCCGTGAGGAGACTGGGGAGGCCTGAGGCCTGGATCGCCTGAGGGTGAGCCGGCACTGAGAGGGCCCTTGGGCCACCTCAAGGAAGCTCTGCGTCTGCGGAATGGGCGTGATGAGCCCCACTCCCACCCCGCCAGGTCCTGGGGAAGAGGCCCAAGGGACGAACTGGCCCTGGACAAATGTGTGTGTCCACCCTGTGCACACTGGACCTGACACCCACCTCTTCACCAGACACCCAGCCTGACAAAGCCTCCGCAAATGAGACACACACACACCCAGAGACCAAGATCCGTGTGCACACCCAGACACAGACACATGGGCACACACGCTGGCCAGGGTAGGAGGCCTGGGAGAACAGGAGCTGCCCCTTCTCCTGCCCCGGGCCCCCAGGGCTTCCCACTTTATCTGTCAGAAGTATATTAACCCAGAAGCCTGTTTCCATCAGAGTCTCAATTCCAGAGACGTTTCCAGATAAGCCTTATCTCGTTGCTGGTGCATTAGCCCCGCCAGCCAACCAGCCAGCCAGCCAGCCAGGCAGCCGGGCCTGCCGATCACGACCGCCCCTCCTGCCCCAGCCCGTGGCAGGGCGCCTGCCCACGACTTCATTCTGGGGGGCAGGCGGGCGGGGCGGCCCCCCCACCCCGGCCCTCAGCCCACAGTAGGGCCCCAGGGCGCAGCCGAGGCACTGGGGCGAGGGGGGGCCCTGGAGGTGTCCAGAACCGGGGTTCAAATCCCAGCTCCACCTGAGGCAATGGCTGGGCCTCGGGGCTGCCCCACCGGCCACCCCTGCGGGTGGGTGAGCATATTCTGCGACTTTACGTGCGTGATGATGCCACAGTGGGCTCCGCACGCTGTAGCCCTCTCTCTTCCACGAAACGTGGAAGGTCTGGGGGTGCCTGGAGCCAAGGGAAGGGGGACACTGCTCCGGAGAGCACCAGGCGCCGCCCCCCCCCCCCCCCCCCCCCCCCCCGCGCCCCCCCCTGCGCCCCGCCGACGCAGCTGGGGTGCTCGGGTTTCGACCGATGCCAGACCTGATAGCGTCCCCTCCTGGGCCGCTGGCCACGCGTGCAGTCTCACTGCACCCTGGCAGCCCCTCCCTGTCCCGCGGCTCGGCGGCCCCCCTCCTGCCTGGGCCTTAGTTCCCTCGGCCTGAGCCCGCCTGCTTCCTGGGGCTCCGAGGAGTGCTGTCCTCAGGCGAGACGTGGGCACCCTCAGAGGTCCTGGAGAAGTGGCCGACTGGGGGCAGTGCTGGGTCTGGGCTGCCCACACCACCGCTGAGAGGTGCTCAGGCCCCCAGTCTCCCGGTGGGGAAACAACATCTACTGGTCCCCCTCCCACGGCTGCAGGGACACGGAGGCCAGCTGCTGCTCGGACTCTCCTGCTGTACCCAGGGACCAGGGCAGAGGCCGGGACTTGCCCGAGGGCACAGAGCTGGTCAGTGGGCAGCCAGGATGTGACGCCCGGCAGTGGCTCGGGGCCCCTCTCTCCCAGGGGTCTGCCCCCAGAACTAGCAGCTGCTCACGGAGGACCCCTCGCCCCGCTGGGTCACGTGACCCCTCACGCGGACCTAGACGGTGATGTGCTCACGGTCACAGCCTGTGCAGGGCAGGGCCGGGCCCCCCCGAGGGGGCCTGGAGGGAGACGTCACCCTCACAGCCCTCAGTCGGGGAGGACTTGGCCTGGCTGGAGGTCCCAGTGGTGCCCACCTAGCTCCCCACACACTGAGGACGACGAAGGAAGGTTTCCTCATCTGAGGGGTGAGTCCCGGGAGCCCCCAGCCCTGCCAGGGTCCCCTCCGGAGGGCCGAGCACCCACGGGAGCGGCCAGCCTGGGGCCTGGTACCAGCAGGCGCTCGCGAAGGCCCTTCCTGCTCCCCTCGGACTGGACTGGGCTGGGGGCGGGGCCCCTGCCTGAAGTCCTTGCTGGGAGCCCACCCTGTGACCTACGGTGGCCTCAGCCAGGTGGCACCGCCTCCCTGGTGAGATGGGGTGCAGGGCAGGGGTGGGGCTGAACGAGAGTGGGGCCCGGAGCCTGGCCCATGGTGGGGTGTCGAGGACGGTTCCCAGGGGAGCTTCCTGACTGTGCTGCAGCAGCGCCAGCTGCCCCCGCCCTATTCCCAGCTGCGGGGGGAATGGGGGCCAGGCCCGGACTCTCCCTGCCCACCTAGCCCTCAGCTGTCGCCCTGATGGCTGCCTGGCCTGACGTCTGGGACCCTGTGAGGGCTGCCGTGGGTCGGCTGCCACCACTGTTGCCGGCACCCATGCTGGCGCTGGATTAGGGCTGCCGCTGCCCAGCGTGGCCACCACGCACAGGCCCGGCGGGTCCACAGCATCCTTCTCTGCCCGGGGCCCTGGGCTCCAGGGCTTACCAGGCCCAAGTCATCTGATTATGACCCATCCCTGTTAATGTTTTTAATGCCATTTTTGCAAATTAAAGCATAATACACCGATTACCAGGGTAAAAGGGAAGCCTCTGCGTCCACCTGGAGGCCAAATAAAGGGACTCTGGAACACGTGGTCATCCCGCAAACGTCTCTAAAAGCTCTGATACCCGCTCAGTCCGTCAGCTCTGCCACTTCCCCCTCTTCTGAGTATGGCCAGGTCGGGCTGCAGGGTGGGGTGGCTTGAGGCACAGGGGCCAGAGGAGCCAGCGCGGGGCTTGCTGGGCTCTATAGAGAGGCCCGGCTGCAGGGGCTCGGCACAAGGCCTGGGGACTCCTGGTGTTCGGATGCAGGGCCAAACCCCCCAGCCTGCCTTCTGCCCCGAAGCACTGGCCTGGCACCCGCCGCCCCCAGACACCCCTGGGCGCCCTTCCTGGACTCGGCTGCCCAAGGACTCCCGGACTCTCTCCAGGCCCAGGAGGCCCGAGGGGCCACCGAGCCTGACCTAAGGGCCTGACACTTTGTGGACCCCCTCAGCCCAATGGGTCCCTCCGCTAGCCCTGCTCTTGGCAGGAGCCCTGGCAATTCCCGACATTGCCCTTGGGAACAGATGTGGGAGGGTTGGGGGGACCCCCATGAAATCACAGAGAGACCAGCAGAATGGGCAGGCACGACGGGACATTTATTTGCGGCTGGCAAGCGCTGGCCGCCAGCCGGGCAGCCTGGGAGACACTGGCCACCAGCTGTGGAGCCGAAGCCCATTCCTGCACGGTGCCGTCCCCTGGCGGGGGTGGTGCGGCGGCTCCGGGGAGAGCCTGGAGGTGGAGGCACACGAGGCACTGTGGCCCCCGGGGCCTGGGCAAGGCGCCCTGGGGCGGCCGGCGGGCACTCAGGGAGACTGGACCATGCGCTTGTGGGTGTCGAAGACGTAGCGCTTGAAAGACAAACTGAGAGCCACGTGCTGGACGGGATCCGGCTGCCCGGCCTCCTCCCCTCGGCCGGCGCGGCCCCGCTTCTTGAGGGCGGGGGTCAAGATCTTCTTGGACTCGGGGCTGAGGCCACCTGCGTGGGGCACAGAGGGAGAGCCTGTCACTCTGCCACCCGCCACCCCAGACGGCACGCGTGCTGGCCCAGCTCCATCCTGCCCCACGACTCAGCAACGCCCCTACAGCCTCTGTGGCGGAGCCAGGACCCCCGTGCCACCTTGGGCTCTCGCCCC